CATTTTTTGTTTGTTATTTTCTCTTCTTTTCTCCCAGTATATTAGATGCCTGAGTCATTGTCTTGCCAATTTTTATGTATAGTTGCAAAAGCTGGACAGTGAAGAATGCTGATAGGGAGAAAATCAACTAGTAGCCCCTCCCAATTCATGGAGGATCCATTACGCCCCCCCCCCAAAATGGCTACTCGCAAATATTTGAGTCCTGCCATTTTCTCCCTCCTCGCTTGCCCCTTCTGCAAAAAGCGAAACTGCGGACTCGAAGTCTGAAGAAACAGAGTGCAGACTGTAGTTGGAGAAGAGTTCTGTGGATATCGTGCACTGCTAAAAAGACAAATAAATGGGTCTTTGAGCAAATCAAGTTGAACTCTCCCTGGAAGCCAAGATGACTAAACAGAGGCTGGTGTACTTTGGCCACATTATAAGAAAGCATGACTTACTAGAAAGGACAATAATGCTTGGTTAAGATGGAAGGAAGTAGGAAAAGAGAAAGACCACATTCCGGATGGATAGACTCAGTCAAGGAAGCCACATCCCTGAATCTGCAAGACCTGAGCAGGGCTGTGACTTGGGGGGTCTCTCATTCATATGGTTGGCATAAGTTGATTTGAAGACAATTAAAAACAATAATAAAGAGAGGGAATTTCAGCAGGTGTTGCTTGTTAGCTGGCTGTAGAGAGCCAGCGTGGCTTAGTGGTTTCAGTGTTGTATTGCAACTCTGAAGACCTGGGTTTGATTCCCAGTTTGGCCATGAAAACCACTGGGTGACTTTGTGCAAGTCACATGCTCTCAGCCTCAGAAGGCAATGGCAACCCTTCTTTGAAGAAATCTTGCCAAGAACACCCCATGATATAGGTTCACCTTAGGGTTGTTGTAAGTCGGAAACAATTTGAAGGCACACAACAGCAAGCAACAGTTGTTTAAATTCCCTCTTCTACACAACCTTTGCAGGCATGGGGGCCCTCTCCAGTTTTCATGTCAGCAAGATTGTAGTTTTAGCACAGAAATGATGAAATTTCTGGCCATCCAGGTGTTTCAGATTACACCTTCCACAGTTCCTTCCCACTAGCGTTGTAGGCCAAGATATGCTAGAACCTCCAAACAAGCTCAAGGTAGATCAAGATATTTCAAGGGCTCAGAGTTCTGTAATCTGACACAAAGCAAATGTGTGAGGTTTACTGTTTGCTTATTTTAAATATTTTTCCAGATAAAACCTTGCTTGAGTGATCCCAGTTACTTATACAGGAGTGGTCCAGATGTGGTCTGGACACCAAATAGAATGCACTCATTTAGTTTATGGCTATTTCACCCCTCCATCCCTTGAGGCTTTTGCTACATGTTGAGTATCCCCTATCTGGAATTCCAGAATCCAAAATACTCTAAAATACAAAATTGTTCACATGGGTGGCATGAGAAAGTGACACCTTTGTTTTCTGATGGTTCAGTGTACACAACCTTTGTATCATGCACAATTTAAACTATTGTGTATAAAATTACCTTCAGACTATGTGTGTATGGTGTATATGCAGCATAAATGAATTCCATGTTTAGATTTGAGTCCCATCACTAAGATATCTCGTTTCACATATTCAAATATTCCAAAAACCAAAAAGAAATCCAAAATCCCAAGCACTTCTGTTCCCAAGCTTTTCAGATAAGGGATACTCTGACTGACTGGTATGCTAATCTCTGCACGGATTGTAGACATTTTAAGATAGTATATTCCTTCTCCTTTTCCATTGTGGCTGAGCAAGGAGACTGTTTTCTTCTGGTATGTTTTGTTGTTCCAAAATGGAACCCATGCTAAAGATGGTATGCAGTCTTGTAGGGAATCTCAGCTTATATAGGAAGAGCTGCTGTAGTTCTGGGATAGGCAAGCCCGGGTCCTCCAGTTGTTGAATTTCCACTCTTCTCAGCCCAAGACAGCATAGCCAGTGGTAAGGCACTATGGGAATTGTGGTACAATGCCTGGAGGAACACAAGCTGTTAATCTAATTCCTGTTGTAATTAGTGCTATGAAGGCTATTAGTATTAGTCAGAAACCACTGGCACAGAAATGCTACTATCAGTGTATTCTGTTTATTGGGCCCTAGGTCATAGAACCAGCTGTTCATATTCATGGGCAGGAGCCACTGACAGCATCCATGTTAGCTGCAGCCCCTCCTCAGGAGCAGAAACAAATGCTTGGTGAGTGGTGATATTTCTTTCATTTAATATGTGGCCTACCTGAAGCACCCTGTTTTAACTACTGACATTTGATTTGCTTTATTATTATTTATTGGGATCCAGCATGGTGGTTGGATCCTTGGACTATGACTCTGGAGACCAGGGTTCAAAGGTCACCAGGCTCAGCACTGGGTAACCTAGGGCAAGTCACACTCAGCCTCAGGGGAAGACAAAAGCAAAGCCCCAGGATAGGTTTCCCTTTAGGGTCACCCTAAATTGGAAAATGACTTGAAAGCACACAACACCAATTTATAGTATTTATTTATATATCGATTACCTCCCAGCCCATTAGGGCCCATGTAGTGAGGCACAACAAGTAAAAACATTTAAAACTGTACAGAGATAAAGACTTCAAAAAGTAGCAAGTACATTTGCCCCCAACAGGCTGAGTAATCATTTTAGCGACCTCGGAAGGATGCCAGGCTGAGTCGACCTGGAGCCCCTGGCTGGTATTGAACTCACAGCCTTGTGGTTTGTCAGTGAGTGGCTGCAGTACAGGCATTTAACCTGCGCCACTAGGACTCCTTAAAACACATTAAAATACCATTTATGTACTTTTAAAACTAGACCTTTAAAATAATTAAAAACAAACATTTAAAACAGCATTTTCAAACACCAAAGGATTGCAGAGCAACACCATTGTAGCTGCCTGCTTGGAAGCTCCAAACAGATAAAGCCAGTCTGACATACCTTGGCAAGGAATTCCACATTCAGGGAGCTACTACACAGAAAATCCTGTAATGTGTGCATGCCAGCCTAGGTCCTGAAGATGTTGAGACATGCAACAGAGCCTTATCAAGAGGCTCATATGGGTAGAGGTAGTTTCAGATGACAGCCAGCATGGTGTAGTAGTTTAAGTATTGGACTTGGACTCTGGAGACTAGGGTTCAAATCCCAGCTCAGTCATGAAATCCACTGGGTGACTCTGGCCATTGCCAAGAGTCATATTCTCTCAGTCTCAGAGGATGGCAATGGCAAACCCACTCTGAAGAAGCTTGCCAAGACAACTCCAAGTAAACACCTTAAGGTCACCATAAGTCAGAAATGTCTCAAAGGCATATAACAAGTTTTCTAGATATCCTTCCCCCAAGCTGTTTCAGGCTTTGTAGGTCAAAACCAGCACCTTGCTATCTCAGGGCTAGAGTATTAATCAAATACTTAGTTGTTTAAAACTTCTTTTTAAGCTTGGAAAACCTGATCTGGCTTCTCCCAGTCACACACAGGTTTGGTCTTAGTTATTCAGTGGTGCTGGCTCTGCTCTCTGCGTATATTCAGGTAGTGCTTATGTTTGATTTATTTAAAATATTTATATCCTGCTGCATGTCATGAGATCTCAGGGTGGCATACAAGTAAAATCCATTTAAGCAGTTTAAACCAATTTAAAACTATAAAAATAATGAATGTTGAGGTTGGTTCTGAAATGGAGTATATTTTTTTTGTTTATGTGGGTGGTGGTGGTGGTGGTGGAAATTCATTTTAAAAGGTGTTGTTTCCAAACTCTCCAAGTTGCATGTATTTATCTTTTTCATTGTGTGTAGGTGAACGTCTCTACCCCCTAATTCATGCAATGCACCCATCCTTGGCTGGAAAGATTACGGGTATGCTGTTGGAGATAGATAACTCTGAGCTGTTGCTTATGCTGGAGTCACCAGAATCCCTCCACTCTAAGGTACTGGAATGCTGTGCTTACAATCCCACTGTCCTGTCATGGTAAAATGTACATTTTGTAGCTTAAATACATTCTGCTGATTTTGCATTTCTTTAAACTGTATGGTTTATCCCTGTCTGATTACTACAGTCTCCACAGTTGGCCTTTTCCATTCTGTCATTTCCCAACTAAGTCTGTTTCCCATTTGCATTGTATATGCATGAGATGGCTGTACAAGTGTTTAGTAAAGGCTTAAGCAATTATGGTTCTGTGTTGTGCACAAAAATACCAAATGCTCTCTTGATGAGACTGAATTTCTGGGGATTCTGGCAGTTGTAGTCCAAATAGGAACTTTTCCAAACTGTTTTTTAAAAGTGGCAATCCATTATAATGTTAGTTTGAGGATACAGTGCGGGAGACTGCATGACACAATCTAGAGATGTTCAGTGAGTCAGATGGGCTTTGCTTCTAGTTCTAGAAGGTAAGAGAAATAACTTGTCATACCAAGTAAATTTGCACACACAGCATTGTAGATTAGCACCATGTAATTTTTTTTGCTGAGTTCAAATGCAGTATAGGCAGGCCACAGTTGTTCCCTAACTCATTTCTGTTAATGCTAGACAAACTATTTTTTAAAATGTTACCATGGGTGGCATTGCTACCTGAGACAAAAAAATAAATATAAAAAATCCAGATGGCAACCCTCTGTTCTGTTTCTGTTAGAAAGGATAAAAAAAAAATCCCCCACACTTGAAAACAAAGAAAACAATCACTACTGAATATACCACGCATAGGAAAAGTAGAGTGAAGTTCTGTTAAAGGTGTTCCTAAATTTCAGCTGGGTTATTTGGACGTTAAAGCAATAAATGGCTTAATAAAAGATGTAATACTTCTAGGGTTATTGAAAGGATTTTGCTATCTAGTATGTCAGTTTGCAGAGTCCATCTCTGTATAACTGTCTATACAAAATGACCACCGTGTTTTGGGCTTTGGATTTCTTAGATTGAGGAAGCAGTTGCTGTACTCCAAGTTCATCACATGTCTGAAGCATCACACAAGAGTGGCTCATCAGCATTCCTCCAGTGATGAAAGTGGATACAGAAGAACTAGGTAGGAAGAAAGTGGTGGTGGTGATCATGAATAGTGAAAAGTACTCAACGTGGCAAGGGTAGAAATAGCCTTTAGCTTGATACTCCAAAGCCTGAAGCAAAGTTATTCAGGAACTTGAAACATCACCCCCATCATCCTGTCTGAACAGTTACTGGCATCCTGCTTAAGGATGTCTGCTATGGTGGGTCTTTATAGGACCAAGGGATAGTGAGATCTGTTCTCTCCCTACCTATGAGAAGAGTTTGCCCAGCTGCAGCAGGAGAGGGAAGTCCTCTAATTCTGCCCTTGTACTGCTCCCCCAAGCTTCAGCCTATATTGCAAAGCTGTATGGTGGCCAGGGAAATATGCCACCTAGCAACTGAAAATAGTACTTCAGATTTTAAATACACATTAAAATAAATGCATTTTAACAACCAAATAATTTGTCAGGTCCCATAAATATGAATAACAAGTGTCAGATGTTTCAGTTTCACAGTCTTGCAGCTAAGGCTTTGACAGACACAAGCAGACAAGTGTCCCCTTTTTATTGTTGTATTGTTATGACAGGGCTTTACAGAGAAAAGAAATGAAAAATTCCTATCTCAAAGGGCTTAAAGCTTAAATGACACAGAAAAACAAGAGAGGAATGGGGACATGGGTAAGCAAGAAACAAATGTGTGGTTACTTCAATTTCATGTACTTTGCATAATTTAAAATAATGTAAAGGAGCTAAGAGAATGATCCAAATTCCAACCCCCAAGATGTATGGTTCAAAGGAAATACAGTG